AATCTAAATAAGTGAGAGATTAATTCACTGCTCTTTAATCAGAATGTGTAAGATATACATTGATTATTAAGATTAAAGAGATTTGACAATTTGATTCTATTTCTTTAGAATAGCTATACATTTTAATAAGCTAAAATGTTTACCCCCTGTTTGTGTCCCTTATTTTCACATCCCAATGTTGACAAGTATGGCGCTGAAGATTAAGCGCCCCCTGCTGGACTCATTAACACCACTACTAACAGCAACCTAGTTTTCCCATATCGTCTCTTATGCAGGTACAGACTAGGCTATTAAGTCAATTTGGTTACTTATAAGTGAAGCTTGTGATATGGTTGCAATTTCATTTAAATGTATTGATTGTTTAATTGATTGACTGTGAAGTTAAACCATAGGGGTGTCAAAATAATTGGTTCTTCAGTGCACCGAGGTGCAGACGCGGAAAATTTAGGTTTGGGTTCAGTAAAAATCATAACCGATTATCGTGTACTGACGTCATTTATCTCATGTACGCTTTCGTGTTGCGGTAGCTTATTATGGATAGGGAGGCGAGCGCAAGTATTTACAACGCTCCAACTACTTAAGTTGGAGAAACTGCACAATTTCACTGTTTGTGTGGTTGCTGGACAGTCTTTCACTGACACAGCAGAAGCCCCTGTTTCACTGCGATTGAGAAAATGAAAGTAAACTCCATTTCTCACTCTCACAGTGACCCTTTTGACCTGCTTGTGGGACTTTTCCTTTCCTTTCTGCTGTTACAGCGATACTTCTGGATACAGGGTATAGTTTTATATGGTTGAATTGTTTATGGTTAATTTTATTTTTTTAATCAAAAAAATAAGCCTAATTTATGCCTATCTGACATATTTTTGGCTCAAACTATAACAGGAGCAAAGAGTTTAATTAGTTTGAAATTGAATGTCTAATGAATGTCAAACATTAAACTAACTCTACCACAGTCAGTAAATTTTCTCCACTGCATCTATCATGGATCAGCTGTGATCGCCGCTGCTGTTTATCAGTGTCACTCTCCGGTGAACAGCACCAGAGTGTTAGAGCCAATCTTAGCCCTCTCTGTTGAACGCATGACCAGTCAAAGGGGTGTAAGAAAGGACTTGCTAGACAAGGCTCAAAAAGCGAGCTGGATATTTATATTTGTTTATTTGCTATAAATGCTCATGTTGTTCTGTGCAAATACTTGAGTTTTTAAAGGTACAGTTTATATATCAGTTGTATTAAAATTACAAAATTGTATTACAAAGAGTATATAAATATATGCATACATTTTAGGACAATAATAATTGTGCTGTGAAGTAAAAAATCTAATTGTGTATGGAAAGCATCATCAATGCACCATGATGCGCTGAAATATGGAATTGAACCAAATCGATGGCATGATAATTGTAACTGAACCAAATCGTGAAACCAGTGTAGATTCACACCTCTATTAAACCAATTAAAGATATACAAATCATTTAAACATTTAATAATTATAATGTTTATATAATTAAAAATAACAAAATTATTATTTTAATACTTAGTCCACTGTTGTTATTATATATATTATTACATATATGTTATTTTTATATATGTTGTTGTTATATATATATTAGTGTTGTCAATCGATAAAAAAATTACAAATTAATCACACCTTTTATTGAAAATTAATCACGATTAATCACACATAAAAGACTGAAATTTGTAATTTTGGCTATTCAAATGTAAAAAAATTACGGCGCCTCACAGCCTTCGCGTGGGTTTCCTACGGGTGCTCCGGTTTCCTCCACAGTCCAAAGACATGTGGTACAGGTGAATTGGGTAGACTAAATTGTCCATAGTGTATGAGTGTGTGTGTGGATGTTTCCCAGAGATGGGTTGCGGCTAGAAGGGCATCCGTTGCGTAAAAACTTAGTTGGCGATTCATTCCGCTGTGGCGACCCCGGATTAATAAAGGGACTAAACCGACATGAAAATGAATGAATGAATGAAATGTAAAATTAATGTAAACGCAAGACAAAAACTATTTAAATTCAAAATATAATTGTTTATTAAAATTTTTGTTTAACATGTAACACAGATATCTTCATGTAAACAACATACCCACAATAAACCATCAAGATCCTGGCTTGACAGCCATATTTATTGCAGAAATTAAAACACAGGCATGTTAATGCCTTTTGAATTTCAAATAAATCAATGCCAATAAAGAAAAAATAAATATTTCCAAGTTGGATTCTAAGTGGACTGCAAAAAGATGCCAAAATACAGGCATTGCAGATATGGAAAATGGAAAATTATAATAATAATAAAGTATTGAATACAAACAATTGTACTCATTGTAAAGTTGTATTGCTGTGAGTTGAGAACATTAATTATAAAGTAGAAACAATTTCACTCAGTCCTCATTTACATTCAGTCAATAAGACAGTCCAGTCTGTTGACATTATCGCGGGACAATGTAGCCCTTTTCTTTTGAATGATGCGAGCTGAGAGTGTAACGCAATCTCATGGCAATTTGTAACTTTTTGATTTTGTGGCTACAGACGTTTATGCAGGTTTGTTGCTAAGAAACACACGTGCATACACGCACAGACACACACACACTGCGCACAGGACAGGCCAGGCGGAGTGACTCCCTTCAGATTCAACACGCATGATCGCGTTCATCAAATTTGCTTAAACTAAGCGTTCTAAAAGTATGGCTGTATTTCACAAGGATTCTGACACAACAACGCGAAGCAGCTGCTTGCTGCTTGAAACTCTGGAGGAAACGCTGGAGAGCCTGGTGATGCGAAATTAATTGTATTATACTGAAACTTGCCTTCAAAAAGCGCTTCCTTGGCCTTACCCAAATTTCTTTGGATGTTGAACACACGTCCACCACAAAAGGAAATAAAAAAAACAGCAACTGTGGTAATTGCGTTAATTGCGTAATTTTGACAGCACTAATACATACATATATATATATATATATATATATATATATATGACATTCAAATCCACATGTATAAATTAAAACGATGCAAAAATGGCCATTTACATATATCTTTGCAATACTTTTAAACACACACACACACACACACACACACACACACACACACACACACACACACACACACACACACACACACACACACACACACACACACACCACTTTAAAACAAATTTTCAAAATAGTTTCTAATAACCATATATACTTAATTGTCACAGCCAGGCAAGGTTCTCCACACTCCCAATTACCAGATTCACCATGCTTTCAGTCACCCAAATCAGCACGATCTCCATCACCTGAAGACTAATCACCCCCGCACCTGCACTTCATCCCCAGTCATCCCTGTAAATCCCTGCCCTCTGCTTCACTCTGTGTATGGCCTCATTGCGCTGAAAAGGATGAATGCTCATGGTAAGTGAAACCTTTGTCAAACAGTTAAACTTATCTGTTTAGTCCCGTTTAACTCCAGTGTCTGAGTCTCTCCTCCTTTCTAGCGTGGTTCCTTTCTGGTTATGTGTCCCGATCTCTTCCGTGTCCATCTCCACCACAGGGATTAAAGTTCTCCGTCGTTACGACGGATTTCCGTCAATTGGAGCGAGTCATTGACGGATTTCCGTCAATTACAGTGTTCCGCTTGTTCTTAATTTTTTTTCATGCTCTTTTCCTAATTTTAATGCTGTAAATATAGGCATTTCTCAAATAGTGTAATAAATGTCTTAATTTTAGTTTGAATAGGTCTTAAATTAAGAAAAGAAGTGTATTCAGCCTGCTGAGGAGGAAAAAAATTTTGTGATCAAAGCCTGGAGTGGAGCAAATGCACGTTCCTCTCTCCACTCTAAGCGTTTTAGCATCACTCCGCTATGGATCCACTCCGGGTTTTGGTATAGTTTCAGAGAAGTACATGTCAGGCTACGGCTGAGGTAAGTTATTTATATTTAAGATAGCATGGACCCATTTATAATGCAGGAAGGCTCCGATGTTTCGGAGATCGAAAAAAGTGTAAAAAATAAATGGAGATGGGCTTGGCTTAGCGAAATTGGGGAGAATGGCAAGCCTTTTAGTTCGTGGGCAAAAAAAATTAAACAACCAGGTACGTGTCTTTGCACAGTATGCCACAGGAAACTTCAATATGGCAGTAATGGCAAAAAAGTGCTAGCTCGCCATCAGTCAGAAGCCAGTCACAATGCCGCCGTTCGTGCTCTACAGTACACTTGCTCCCTGCCTGGTGCGACAAGTACCACAACGGAGATTCATGCATCTATGGCCGACCGTGTGTGCGATGTAAAAGTGCGCGTATGTTCTTTCATAGCGGAGCATGACCTGTCGTTCACAATCTCACAACCGCTAGTTAATTTGATGCAGTCAGTTGTCAAAGACAAGAGTGCACTTTCAAGATTGTCAATGTCTAATGCACATGCCTCCTACTTGTGCACACATGGTATTGCTGCTTATTGGAAGTCCGAATTGTCATCTAAGCTGAAAACGAAGATGTTCTCATTAAATGTAGATGAGGCAACAGATGGAAACATGGACAGGATTCTGAATGTTCTTGTTCGGTACTATGATGAAGATGTGGGAAAAGTGGCAACCCAGCATCTAGCCTCGAGGAAACTGAATATCGCAGATGCCTTATCAATCACAAACACATTGACAGATATTCTCCAGTCATATAGCCTGAACTGGAATCAGGTTGTTGGTATACTGTTGGATAACTGCAGTGTGATGAGAGGGAAAAAGTCTGGAGTAGAGACACTAGTCAGAAGAGAAAATCCATCACTGCTGGATGTCAGCGGAGACACTGTCCATATGGTCTCGAATGCAGCCAAGGCCCTTTTAAATACTTTCCAGGGATTTGTGGAACAATTTTGCTCTGATGTATACTATGACATTGAAAAATCACCCAAACAGAAAGAAATTTTTTCTGAGTTCCAGTCCTTACTTCATTTGGAGAATAAGAGCCTAATACGTCCCATCAGCAGCAGGTTCCTGCAAATGTTAGATGTATGCAACAGAATACGGGACCTTATGGATCCATTGACCGTGCACTTCTACAGCGTCCTGTCTTCTCATGATCAACACAAACACAGGTACTTCTATTTTTGTATCATCTTATTTCTGTACTAGTAGGCTTTTTTTGGATCTTTAATAAAACACACACACGCACAGGTCTATGGTGATATCTTTGTGGGGCCCTTCCATAGGCATAATGTATTTTTTACTGTTTAAACTGTATATTCTATCCCCTTCCCCTTTTATTTCCCACGTGGGGCCCACAAAAAGGGCCCCACAACATCAAAAATCCCCGGTATTACTATCCATGAGGGGACATTTGGTCCTAAAAAAGTAATATAAATAAACACACACACACACACACACACACACACACACATATATATATACACACTCACTTTTTTGTTATTAATAATATTTAAAGATGCAGACATTTACTGGATTTTTTTACATAACAAATCTAAACCAAGGGGTGGCGATGCCTCAGTGATCAATCAGGTTATGTATATAAAGTTATAGATACAGTGACTCAAAGGGTTAAATATGTTAGAACAGTGAAGCTCAGCTTTATTCCAGATGCTATCAAATTATTAAATAATCTTTATATAGAAAAAAGGATGAGTCTTGACCTGTAAACTCAAAAATTATGTCATGACTGTTGAAGTATTGGCAATTAGAAATAGCATTGTCTATTTTTTCTCCTTAATCCTTATTTGTATATTATAATTTTGTGATGCAGATGGCTCCTGAACCAGCTTCTTGATAAGCATGCAGTTACATCTGATGAGAAGGCCAGGATAATATGTCTGCAACAGCAAATAGCAAAATCTGCGAGGATAGGAAGTGATGTCAACAAAAAACGAAAGACACGCATCTGTATGCTTTTTTCCGAGTTCGACAAGCTCACAACCATTATTGATTTGTATCGAGGTATGTTCACTTTTTATTCACTTTAAGTGTTAAGAAAAGTACAGAGATTTCTTATTTATTGAAATCCCTTTATTGCTATATTTATTATATGCTTATTTTTCTTGGAATCCTTGAATGGAATCTGAGTTAACTATAAATAGTTTTTAGATCACTGTTAATCAGATCACTTTGGTTAATACTACTACTACTAATAATAAACTATTTATACAGCAGTTTTCAAAAACAAAGTTACGGACTTATTAACCAGATTTAAAACATGTCAGGACTGATGTAATTTAAACTAGACAATTGAATAATACAAATGGAAATAACAAATCTAGAAAATAATATTAAAGGGTTGTAATGCTCTAAGAAGAGTATGTTACATTGCTATGAATGTGATAATTAATCAATGAATAAAATATACAGACCCATTTCTAATCTGGTTCTATTGTGATTTTTAGGTGTACTTCCAACTTTCCAGGTGTTCCTGAAGAAGTTGCAACATGAAAAGCCCATGATTCATGTGCTGCATGCTGAAATGCTACTGCTGGTTAGGGAACTTCTCTCCAAATTTATGAAGCCTGAAACTATCCCTTTGAGTGCAAATGGCTTGTTGAAGCTTAATGTTCACCAGAGAGACCTGCAGTACACTGACAAAAGGTTGTCTGTGGGAAGATTCAGCTTCTTTGCCTTAAACAAGGCTAGAGTGGAAAAGAAGCCCTGGGTGCAGAAGCTCTACAGTTCTCTCAGAGAAGGCTACATAAAGGCAGCAACATTCCTCCTGAAAAACCTGCCCCTCAACAACATCATCATCACCTCTTTATCTGCGTTGACACCATCATTGATTCTCCACGAATCAGTCCAAGGTGCATTCAACACCTTGGCCAAGGCCTTGCCAAATGCTGTGAAGTCAGAAGAGTTGGGTCAACTGGATGAAGAGGTTCGAGCCTACCAGATTAATACAGATCTAGGAGCACAGGCCAAATGCTTTGAGGAGAACAATGCACGAATCGATGTTGACTGGTGGAGTAAGATTTTTGCCATGAAGATGACAGGAGGAGGAACGAGGTTCCCCATCTTAGGGAAGTTGGTAAAGGCTCTTCTGTCATTGTTCACTGGCCCTCTTGTAGAAGGATCATTTAACATGATGGATGATATAATTGAGAAAGACAGGGTTAGGCTGAACATTGAGACTTATGAAGGTTTAGCCATTCTCAAGTCCAACATGAAGGTAATGGGCAAAACTGCATCTAAAATGCAAATTACCCCTGCATTAAGGAGATTTTGCCTGTCTTCTTATGAGACATACCAAAATCATCTGAAGAAAAAGAAGGTGAACCTTGACAATCAAAAGGAAAGGAAACTGAGGGAAGCTGTGAAGGTTCTCTCAGAAGTTAGGGTTAGAAAAGTAAAGAAAGGTTCCACCTCTTATGTTTGTGCTAAAGCCCCCACCTCTTCCACCCTGGGAGTTAAACGAATAGCTGCTGCTACAGCCTCCACCTCCTCCACTGCTGGAGTTAAAGGTAAATCTGCTGCTACAGCCTCCACCTCCTCCACTGCTGGAGTTAAAGGTAAATCTGCTGCTACAGCCTCCACCTCCTCCACTGCTGGAGTTAAAGGTAAATCTGCTGCTACAGCCTCCACCTCCTCCACTGCTGGAGTTAAAGGTAAATCTGCTGCTACAGCCTCCACCTCCTCCACTGCTGGAGTTAAAGGTAAATCTGCTGCTACAGCCTCCACCTCCTCCACTGCTGGAGTTAAAGGTAAATCTGCTGCTACAGCCTCCACCTCCTCCACTGCTGGAGTTAAAGGTAAATCTGCTGCTACAGCCTCCACCTCCTCCACCTCTCCTGGAGCCACTCCTGCACATGTAGCTAGTCAAACACTAAAACGGGTTTCAGGTGTAGCCAAGCTTCAGGAATATGGTTTTACAGCCAAAAAGCAGAAAAAGTGAAAAGCACTCTAGAGGCATTTGGACAAGAAAAGCACTTTTTGGAATTTAGTGGTGGTGCTGTTACTTTTTTTTTGCTGTTAATTATTAATAGTTTCACAAAACATTGTTTGGTGTTATAAGATACATAAAACATGCACTGAAAATACACTTTTTGAAAAAGCACTTTTTGGAATTTAATGGTGATGCTATTACTTTTTTTCTGTTCATTATTAGGAGTTTCACAAAACATTGTTTGGTGTTATAAGATACATAAAACATGCACTGAAAATACACTTTTTGAAAAAGCTCTTTTTTGAATTTAATGGTGGTGCTATTACTTTTTTTCTGTTAATATGAGTTTCACCAAACATTTGGTGTTATAAGATAAATAAAAACATGCACTGAAAAGATGTGTGGTAGATGGTTGATTATTTGTCAAGTTATATATTTTTCAAAGATAGCTTTTAAAATATGCAAACTGGCAACATTAAAGCGGTTTAATCTCCCCTTAAAACGCTATTGGTCTCGGCTATTTAAATAAAATTTTGGTTTTAGGAATATGGCTTGGCCTGAAAAAAGTTCAGTCACAAGAATTTTTTTCACTTTAATCCCAGTCTCCGGTTTGTTTCCATCGTGGTCTACTGTTCAACACTTCTATATAAAGACTTTACCCGGTAGTCATATTACCTGTTAATATCATTCTACAATAAAATGTAATCTCAGTTCTGGTCTCAGTCTCCCTTCAACATAGCAAAATTTCTCTGGCCCAGATCTTACCCACACAATCAGATTTTGCTTGGCCCACATGCCACAATGAATTATGGTACATGATTGCATTAAGTCTGGCTTCCAGACAAGGGCCAAACATGGACCATATCTGGACCTAGTCAGCCAAGTCAATAACCTATAACTGGGCCTGATATGTTGGTATGTCACGACTGCAAAGAATTTAATAAAACCATGAAGCATTTCG